GGGGCTTCTCTCGACCCCGCCCGGTCGCGGTGCTCAGTCGGGAAGCGACGCGGTTTGACTCCTTGATCTGCAGCGCAATGCGGCGTGCCGCTCTCCGTGAAACAAAGCCTGCCGAACGTTTTCCCATCTAAATGATCGATCTCTTCGGCACATCCCCGCAAACCGTGCTGATGCCTTCGCGCCAGAGGCTTTCCCGCAGTAACGAGTGGGTTTCTGCCCAGCTCAGCTCCGCAGCCCTGGCTGGAGGAAGGCTGCAAGGGATTGTGGGAAGGGCCGTGGGCATGGCCGTGGAGACGGCCTGACTGCAGCTCGGTGGCCGTCCCTGCGCGAGCTTCGATTGGGCTCGCGCGCTAAAAATTGCAGTGGAAACGGGAGCGACGCGAGCAGCCCACCTGAGTGCATAGCTGGGATCTGAGCAGGGCTTGTGTGAGCTGCTAGCCCTGCAGCCGTGTCTTCTGCGTGCTTTCGAGCGAGCCCCCGTATTATGCGTACGGCAGTGACTCCTTGTGTGCAGCTCAGACATGCCCCTCCAGGCTCTTTACATGCCCATTATGGGCTTGCCTGTGCTTTCGCGGGGGGGTAAAGCTGGCATCACTGCTGGAGGCCGTGGCTCGCACCACGAGAAACGTGGTTCAAGTGAAAGTAAACTCAGACCCTGCATCCCCAAGTTCTGTCTGTAGCATGATCCCTGCTCATACACACGGTTTGCCCCTCTCAGGCATGTCTGTGTCCTGGGGTGTTCGACTGCTCACACTTGCACTGAACGTGCAATGCATCTCCTTCAGGGCAGCTCCCTGGGTCCCACTCCATGCTCTGCCACTGACCTGCAGGGTGACCTTGGGCAAGTCCCTTCCAGGTTCCATGCCTCAGTTTCCCAAATTTTACAGTGGGGGCTGTGGTCCCGCCCCTGCCTGTTTAATTGCGTTGGGATTATTAGCTGACAGGAGCTCTAGTGCCAAGTGAAACCACAACGGTTTGGGCCACTGCTCCTGGGCTGGGGAGTTAACCTCAGCAGGCTAAGTTGCCATCTGGCCGCTGGGCAGTTGATGGATCCTCGGGAGACTTCGGGTGACCTGCTGTCTTGCCTGCCCCCCCCCCCATCCCAGATCGAGCGGCACGACAGCTGTGCCTACGACTACCTGGAGATCCGGGACGGCAGCACCGAGTCGAGCAGCCTGATCGGCCGGTACTGTGGCTATGACAAGCCCGACGACATCAAGAGCACGTCCAACAAGCTGTGGATGAAGTTTGTCTCGGACGGCTCCATCAACAAGGCTGGCTTCGCCGTCAACTTCTTCAAAGGTACCGGAGCCTCCTTCGGCCTCTCCCCCGCCAGCCTCGCCTGGAGCTGACATGAGCCTCTTGGTGCAAGGGCTGCGTTCAGGGCGGCGTAGCGGGGCAGGGACAAGCTGAGCCACTTCTCCCCAGGCTTTCTCCCTGTGCTCCTGCAGTCCCCAGCCCTGCTGCGTTCCTGTCCTCCAGGGGGCCTCCCGGAGTGGCACTGCGCCCCCTGCTGGCCAGCACCGAGACGCAGCTGATTAGCAGAGCGTGCATATTTACAGCCTGCAGCGTGTGTTCAGCCTCCCCCCCACATGCCTTGCTCCGTCCTGAGCCTGGCTGCTCCCAGATTCTCCTGTGAGCTGAGCAGGGGTGTGGAGGGGAGCAGGGAGCGCTGAAGTCAGGGTGTCCCTCTGCCCCTGTACCCCATCTCTGCAGAGCAGGGGTCGGGGGGCGGGAGACCCACAGCGGAGCTGCTCCAGTCTCTAGCACGGATGGTCAGTGACTCAGAGGAGTGCAGAGACACACACACTCTGTGTCACTGTCACACACACCCCGAGTCTGCACCACACACGCTCTGCACCCCGCACCCAGTCATGGTCACACACACACTCGATCTGTGTCACCAAGTCTCTCTCTCACACACACAGTGTCTCTCTTTCACACTCCCTCGCTCTTGTGGTTTCTCTCTGCAGCCCTCAGTCCCGCCCCTTCTGCCAGAGGCCCCACCCCTTCGGGGGAGCCGGGGGCTGGCCTGCCCCCACAACATCCCTGCTCCCCCAAACCAGGGCCTTTCTCTGCTTTTGTCCCCTGACAGAGGTAGACGAGTGCTCACAGGCCAACAACGGCGGGTGTGAACAGCGCTGCGTCAACACCCTGGGCAGCTACCGGTGCGCCTGCGACCCCGGCTATGAACTGGCTTTGGACAAGCGCCGCTGTGAAGGTCAGTATCTCCGGGGGGGGGGGGCTTCCTAACCTGCTGAGGGCTCCAAAGCTGTGACTCCTTTTCCCCCTGCTCACCTTGCCCCCCGTTGCTCCAGCACCCAGCACCCCCCCTCCCCCCAGCATGCTCTAGGACAGTCGAAGTCTCCCACAGCCCGGCCTCGGGGAGCGGGGTGTTGAGGGAAGCGTGGGCAATGCTCCCTGTGCTTGACCCCCTGCAGCCGCCTGCGGAGGCCTCCTCACCAGACTCAACGGCTCCATCACCAGCCCGGGCTGGCCCAAGGAATACCCCCCGAACAAGGACTGCGTCTGGCATCTGGTGGCGCCCTCCCAGTACCGCATCTCCCTGCAGTTCGAATTCTTCGAGACCGAGGGGAATGACGTGAGTCCCACGGCGCCTCCCGCGTTCACGCCTCGCCCCCGCCTGCTTTGCTGCGGGTCCCCACAGAGTCGCCAGCCCCTGCGGGCGCGGGCTGGGCTGGCGGGGGGGGCCTTCTGCCAGGCTGGGAGCGCCGTGGGTCAAAGCCCAGGTAGCAGGGGCTGTCTGAGGAAATGAGGGACTTTCTGCACCAGGGTGTTTGTCGCACGAGATTCATAGACACCGCGGTCAGAAGGGACCTTGGCGATCGACTCGTCTCGCCAGAGACCTTCCCTGAAGTCAATTCCCAGATTGTGATTGTGTGATTGTGATTGTGTGATTGTGAATTGTGATTGTGAACCAGAGCAGATCTTTTAGGAACACAGCCCATCTCGGTGTTAAAGTTAGCCTCACTGTGGGAAACGTACACCCTATTTCCAGCTTGAATTTGCCTAGTGTCAGCTCCCAGGCACCACCGTCTAACTAGTGCAGATGCATTGGTGCAAATCTCATGTGGGCACGTGCACGCCGCTGTAAATCGTGACCCCTCCCCGCGGCCAGGCGCTTTCTGCAGCACGTTTACACTGGCGGGTAGGAGCAGCGGAGACACGCTCTGGGCTCTAGGCCCCGAGAGCCGGCCGCCTCTCCTCACCCCGTCTCAGCCGGGCTCCTCCTCCTGTCCCCCAGCAGGTGTGCAAGTACGACTTTGTGGAGGTGCGCAGTGGGCTGTCGGCCGACTCCAAGCTGCACGGCAAGTTCTGCGGCGCGGAGAAGCCGGAAGTCATCACTTCCCAGTACAACAACATGAGGATCGAGTTCAAGTCCGACAACACCGTCTCCAAGAAGGGCTTCAAAGCCCATTTCTTCTCAGGTAGACCCTCCCGCCGGCAGCATGGGCGTCCTCTGTCCCGCACCCCACTGCTAACCACTTCCAAACCTCCAAGCTGCACGGCAAGTTCTGCGGCGCGGAGAAGCCGGAAGTCATCACTTCCCAGTACAACAACATGAGGATCGAGTTCAAGTCCGACAACACCGTCTCCAAGAAGGGCTTCAAAGCCCATTTCTTCTCAGGTAGACCCTCCCGCCGGCAGCATGGGCGTCCTCTGTCCCGCACCCCACTGCTAACCACTTCCAAACACTTCCCGATGCCGAGAGGGTGCAGTCCCCAGCCCTGCCCACCGGAGGGCGCTGTGCTGCCTCCGGGAAGTTCTCTGCAGACACCTTCCCATCTGCAGCTGTGTTGGGGGGGGAAACCCCTTCGTGGAGTTTCTTCCGCGCTTCCCAGCCGCATTCTCAGCTGGTGTGAACCAGCTTCGGTGCTGCACTGATTCACACCAGCTGGAGATTTAGACCAAAATCCCAGCCAGACTCTCAAAAGGCCCCTGCTTAAGGAAATTAAAAAAAAAACCCAAACCCACTACTAAAGCCATTTACAAAACTCTCCATTGAATAGGCAAAAATCTCTGTCCTGCTAGCGTCTCAGAGGGGTCGCCGCGTGAGTCTGTAGCGATAAACGCAATGAGTAGTCCTGTGGCACCTTAGAGACTAACAAAATGTAGAGAGAGTAGCGTGAGCTTTCCTGGGCAAAACCCACTTCCTCGGATGAGCTGGGGCGGGAAAGCAGGAACCCAGAATTTATAACAGGAAAAGAAGGGCGGAGGGAGACCTGTCAGTTGTAGGGCCGGAGTTTGTTCCTCTGGTGCCGCTGTGCACTATGGGGCACGTTCCGGGCACGGTCTGCAGTCGGCCCCCTGGTACAGGTGTAAATCCAGAAGATGCTGAAGTGAACCTGCTCCAACGTCACAGAGATGGGGCTTAGGCCTAGACCCTCAGGCGCTGCCGTTCTGGTGAAAGCGCAGGGAGCTCGGAGCAGGGCTAACTTGGAGGGTCTGGGTCTCGCTGCTCGCTCTGGCCCCGACTCTGACCCTCTTGCTTGCGCCCCGTGTCCTGTGGCAGCCAGTAGCACAAGGGCAGGACTCACCGGAAGGGAGGGCAGCGGAATCCAGCCTCATGTGGGTCAGATACAGCCAGGGATGGTCAGAGGCCCCCCCACGGGATGGTCAGAGGCAGCCCCAGGGGATGGGCAGAGGCAGCCCCAGGGGTGCCTCCAGGCCAAGTTCGGCAGACACGTAAAGCAGCACCATTCCCGGGGGGTCTGTCTGCAGCATGGGCCCAGCTCCTCTCGATCCCTGTGTGTGACTGTAGCCGCGCTGCGGTCGGGATGACAAGCCCTAAGCGAGGGATACGTGCAGCCAACACGGCCTCACGCCTGTGGGCCTTCGTTGGTTAGACAAATTGCCCCTCTGACTCTTCCTCCAATGCCGGAAGGCCAGGCGTTGTCTGATCCCCGCTGGGGAAGCTTTTGGGGGACCTGATGCAAGTAGGGCTTGTCTATACACAGACTGAGTGCGTGGCCCGCACAGGAGGGACTCCACCCCCTGCCGGGCGCTAAGGGGCCCCGGGGCTCCTGCGACCGGGCCCGGACATCCCCCTAGGGCTCTGTGACGCTGCTGCGGGCAGAGCCGGGCTGTG